TTATGGATTATGTACAATAAGATCAACATATAACATATTAAAGGGACAGTTCACCCAAAAAATATAAATGATGTTTTCCACAGAAGTTTGGATCAGCATGTGAGTGAATAAATTACAACATTGATGAGTATTTATTTTTTGGTGAACTATCCCTAAATAGAGAACACATTTATTCCCGCTTGATTTCAATATGACCAGCCTCCTTCCAAACCCTCAAAATGGATTTTAAGCATTCTTATCCACCAAATACTGCAACAGAGCCGCCTGTATTCTGCTAGTGCCCAAAGCAAATGTTTGTACAATTGACCACCATAGGGAACTGACTGAAGAGCCTGTGATTCTCTTTCCTATAATGCCATGAGTCTCAGAAGGACAATGTGTGTCAGGACTCCTGCTGGGAAAGCAGCCTTCCTGCTGACAAAGGTCCATGTCAGCCCGAGGAAAGGACTGGGAGAATGTTTAACCATTTTCTCAGAAGCTGTACACAAGCAACACGAAATGTTCTTGAAACCGGATCCTAAGTTTACATTTTATGCTTTCATACACATCATAAATAACTCTGTAAGATCCATAGATCAGTTTGCAGCTGGAGGCTACTTATGACAATATGGCTGCAGAACACATTTTCATGAAAGTACTAAAAAAAACCTGCATGGAAGGTTTTTTTTTTTCTTGTCCCCACTTGGGAACAATATAAAAACCACTCAGATCGCCCTAGCAACCACCTAACGATGCTGTACCAACTAAAAAACACTATGCATAGCAACACCCTAGCAACCACATAGCAATGCTGTAACAACCACACTAAAAGTGCACTAAAACATTCTGCACAGCAACACCCTAGCAACCATAGACATGTATAGGTAGATTCCTCATTAGCGACTATTTCTATGGGCCTCTATATGTAAGCTGTCCGCCATATTGAAATGTCAAAGCCGGTCTGTGAATACTCGAGAGTAGGGCTGCACGATAAATCGCATGCGATATTTAACGCGCATCTTGTCAGAAAAGCCGGTTCTGTAATCAGCGGTAAATCTCCATCACCTGCGGGCTTTCACATTGAGCAGCATTAACTACACAGAGCCGTTGTTCAGTGACGAGCTGCGCAAAACCACGTTCATATTCGCGCAATTTTTTGCGCAGCTCGTCCATGAACAACGGCTCTGTGTAGTTAATGCTGCTCAATGTGAAAGGTGATGGAGATTTACCGCTGATTACAGAACCGGCTTTTCTGACAAGATGCGCGTTAAATATCGCATGCGATTTATCGTGCAGCCCTACTCGAGAGCAATGCCGGTGCATCTGTACTGCAACTGTAGTTCTACGCATGTATGACAAATATATATCTTCAGTAGACTTCAGAAGATGCTTTTGCTAAACGAACACAACAAGACAAAGCCGTTAGCTTACAAGGCATTTAAAAGGTACTTTAGTTTCAAAACCTGTAATATTGAGTTAATAGATATTAAAAACACAAACCAACACATTCTTACTTGTGAAAGTTTATCCAGTTTCTTCAGGAATTTAAATTTAGGTGGTTTTTACAACCAGATGCTGCGCAATGTTGTTGCAGCTTGAAACTCGTTGATTTTTATTGTGAGTGACGACATATAGACCTTTCCAAGATGGCGGATGTGTCTACGTGCTTGGAGCGGTCGATGAGGAATCTACCTATACATATCTATGTTAGCAGCCACCTAGCAACGCTGTAGCAACTATGCTAAAGTGCACTAAAAAAAGTGCACTAAAAATGCTGCACCTGCAAGGTTAACCCAAAATTGCTATTATTAGTAGTATGCATTAATAATTAAAAGGTCACATTATACCTGAATCGTTTGTTATTTTCCACTGACTTTAGAGCATCATGGAGATGCTTACAGGTATAACACCTGAAGACAAAAACCTATTTAACTTTATGAGTCCAACACAGACATACATAATTAATACAAGCCTGAATCTTAGGATAACGTGTTCAGAATACATGTATTTATTTATTTGTTTATTTATTTATTTTAAGGTAATTGTCATTGTGTTAAATAGTTTTTTTATTATTTTATTTTATAATATTTACTTTTTATATATATAGACTATGCTTAATATATATATGTGTGTGTGTGTGTGTGTGTGTGTGTAATGTATATATTAGGGCTGTTTATATTTTGGGTCGGTCAATTTTACTTTTATTTTTTTAAATAAAATAAAAAATAATAATTTATAATTTAATATTTCCAGTTTCAGAAACTTTATTGATTGTCCACAAAGTGTAAAATTATCTTTGACTTATAATAAACATGCATTATAATCTCACCAAGGACACAGTACCAAAGATAATGCTCAAAGCATAAATGTTAAAACATTACAACAACAAAAAAAATGAATAAATAGCATATTTGACCCCAGTTTGAGGTGAAATATCACCTAGACATGTACTCATGCTAATTGTTTTTATAGAAGAGCCAAATTCAACCCTTCTGTTTTCATTACACCCCTAATGAGAGAAGTTTCCTTAAATAACATTAAGGTCACACTTTCACCTTTCCCTCTGAGTTTGCTCTTATTTATCAAAGCTACAGCGTCCTCCATCCTAATTGCTGGTGGCCATTTCGCCCTGGCTTTCGGACATGCACTGTTGCCCTTTCAAAGTGACCAGGGCCCAAACCACTCGCTTCAGGCCCGAATGGCCTTGGTAAATCAGTCTGTCGCCCTCTATCCTGTTTTATTTGTCCTTTTTTTATACCTCTCTGCTGGCAGATGTGGGGCCTGTGGGTGCGTGGTTATTTATCACCGTTACCTCTGCTGGGCTGAGCGCTAAAAGCGGTGGCATGAGGTACGATGGAGGATGAGGCTGCCATACATAAGTAGACCTCTGTGACAAAGTCAGTACGGAGTGAGACAAGTGGGCCATCTATCGCAGTAAAACAAAGGCCTCTATGTTCCTCTGTAATCTTAAACAGGCCGGATTAATCAGAGAGAGTAGACTTATATAACGTCTTTGAGACAAAGATAGAGTCTTAAAAGTGTTTAATACTGCCTTTGTTTGAGAGAATATTATGATATTTCCAACGTAATTCATTACCTGATTCATTATGCATTTTATTCCAGGCTTACCCTTAAAAAAAGTAATACCATGGCAGGGCCGCGGGAAGATGTTTTCGGTTGGGGGTGCTGTGTGTTTTTGTTTAGTGAGGGGGGGG